AAAAAAAAAAAAAAAAAAAAAAAAAGCTATAACCTTTAAATGTTGGAGTATGTCATTAAGAATAAAATAAGAGAAAACAAACATTGCTGAAGCCATGGCACTCTACCCAAGGGGACAGCTTGAGACTCTGTCTCAAAAAAAAAAAAAAAAAGTAAAGGTACTATGGGCAGAGCATGAATGTATTATTTCTAGAGCTACTCTCTTACCTCACATATGCTTGCAGTTACCAGCCAACTGCTATATTTTATGGGGCTGCCTATCTATGCTTTTTTTTTTTTTTAAGGTGAGCACTATGCTACTTGCCTGTGGCAATAATTGTTCACAAAAATTTCCTCCAGTTTGTTCATCAGGGGTAAGGAAAATGCAAGGGGAAGCAAAAGTTTGATAATCAGGCTTGAAAAAATAAAAATAGGGAGATTAGAATCTAATCTAAGAGATTAGATTCTGGGAGTTAAAAGCATTCGGGAAACAGAAAGGGCTAATTGCAGGAAATATACAGTAAAAGGAAATATATAGTAGGAAATATACAGTAAAAAGTAAGCTCCGGTTATCAAAGCAAGAAAGCACTCAAGGACTAATGGAGTGTGTCAGTGAGACACTGGTGGCTTATGGTGGCATCAAGTGGCCAAATTTGGGATAATGTGAGCATCAACAAGAATCACAATGTTAATGGATTTATATACACATATGTCTGGGGTAAATTTAAAAATATTACATCAGTAATTTCTTTAAAAAGCCCTTGATTCCATAGACAAACAAATGACAAAACAGAGGTATGGAAAGAATGCCAGTTAATAAATGTAGAAGGCCATGATAGAGCATCATCATTTATAATTCCCTATGTAGTAAAAGACTCTGTGGAAGATTATATGAGCGGTTGTGGAACAGGATATACTTACTGCCTCAGGATAGAATCCCACAGGTTACTTACCAGTTAAGAGGAAAATGTACTATTAAGGATAGAGAAATACAGCCACTACCTTCGCCAAGTGATCAAATTTAGCATTGTTAATAGGAGAGTCTAAGATAGTGTCTCTATGGGTTGCAATAAGAGGCACATAACATCCATGTAGTATTCTTGCTTAAATGATTAAACTGACTCTAATCATGAGTAGAAAAAAATCTGACAAGTCCAGAATGAGGGGGATTCCACAGACAAATGGCTCAAAATTCAATGACTTAATTTTTTAAAAAGGGTGAGGGAGACTTCTAGATTACAAGAGATAATAACCAATTACATTATGGGTTAAAAAAATAATAAAACTATGAAAGGAATATTGGGGACAGTGGAGAATTCGAATATACACTGTATATTAAAGCATTTTATAGAATTATTACTGTTCTTAGATTTGATCACATATTGTAGTCATCTAGGAAAATGTTCTTATTCTGAGGACATGCATGCTAACATATTTGGGGGTGAAGAATCTGAAACTTACTTTTTTTTTTTTTTTGAGACAGAGCCTCAAGCTGTCTCCCTGGGTAGAGTGCTGTGGCATCACAGCTCACAGCAACCTCTAACTCCTGGGCTCAAGCAAGTCTTCTGCCTCTGCCTCCCAAGTAACTGGGACCACAGGCGCCTGCCACAACGCCTGGCTATTTTTGGTTGCAGCCATCATTGTTGTTTGGCGGGCCGGGCTGGGGATTCAAACCCACCACCTTAGGTGTATGTGGCTGGCGCCTTAGCCGCTTGAGCCACAGGTGCCAAGCCCTGAAACTTACTTTCAAAGAATTCAGCAATAATAAGCGTGTGGGGCTGTGAATGTGAAGAGATGTAGAAATCAAATGTGGCAAAAGGCTAAAGGCTCAGCGCCTGTAGCTCAAGTGGCTAAGGCGCCTACCATATACACCAGAGTGGGGCCTGGGACTGCCAAACAACAATGACATCTACAACTAACAAATAGCGGGGCATTGTGGAGGCACCTATAGTCCCAGCTACTTGGGAGGCTGAGGCAAGAGAATCGCTTAAGCCTAGGAGTTGGAGGTTGCTGTGAGCTGTGATGCTAAAGCACTCTACCGAGGGCGACAGCTTGAGACTCTGTTTCAAAAAACAAAAACAAAAGCAAACAAATGTGGCAAGATGTTAAAAATTAATGAGCAGAAAGACGACTAAACAAACGTTCATTGTATTATACTTTAAACTTATTTGTAGATATAAACCATTTTTTCTAAATAAGAGTTGAGGAGGAAGGAGAATGCAATTCAAAGAAGACCAAGGAACATTCAGCCACCCATAGCAGAAACTGCGCAGGAAGACCTTCCCGCCTTTCCGGGGCTGTTTCCTCTAGGCGGCTCCGGTCACGTGGCATCGTGGCCCCGCCCACGGCTCCCAGAGGCCCGCGCGCGCGGCCGGCAGTTCCGCGCTATCTCCCGGCTGGCGGGCTGCGGCTATGGAGGGCGAACCTCCTCCGGTTGAGGAGCGGCGGCGGCTGCAAGAGGAGCTGGGCGAGTTTGTGGAGAGCTGTTGCCGGACGCTGGAGGAGGTGACAGCGTCCCTGGGCTGGGACCTGGATAGCCTGGATCCGGGGGAAGAGGAGGCGGCGGAGGTGAGGGGCGCGGCAGTCGGGCCCTTTGGGGACCCGCGGTCTGGTGTGGCGGGCGAGTACGCACGGTGTGCAGCGGCGGGGAGAGCTAGGAGCCCCGATCAGTGTGCAGAGCCGTAGCTGGTGCCGGGGACCGATTTAAACCCAGGCATTCTGGCTTTTTTGAGTGTGCTGAGGCCTGGCGCAGCCCTGCAGCTTCTGGGTCTGCGTCTGGAGCGTGTGAGGGCCTCTGGGCGTCCCGTACCGACCCCCGGCCTGGCGCTCCTTCCGCAGAACTTCGGTTCTAAAGAAAATGGGAACATGTTGTGGCTGGGGAGCGAAAGGTAGATCTGGTGTTTGTTTAGAAAACGCGTGAATGGGCTCGGCGCCTGTAGCTCAACCAGCTAAGGCGCCCGCCTCATACATCAAAGCTGGCAGGTTCGAATCCAGCCCAGGCCTGCCGAACAACAATGACAACTACAACCAAAAAATAGCCAGCCGTTGAGGCAAGAGAATAGCTAAGCCCAGGAGTTGGAGGTTACTGTGAGCTGTGATGCCACGGTACTCTACCCAGGGGGACAGCTTGAGGCTCTGTCTCAAAAAAAAAAAAACCGGAAAAGAAAACGCGTGAATGGATCTCAGTGTTGGGCTCACAAAGGGCTTGGCAAAGGGCTTGGCAATTTGCGTTGTCATTTGTCAAATGGGTTTTGCAGTTGCACCAAATTGGGTGTCAGGAGAGCTGGGAGTTTGCCAGTTCGCCTTTCTCATCCTCAAAATTGGACACTTATGACTGAGACAAATCCGATTATAGGATTATTAAAGACGTTACTAAGAGATGGTAACCAGGACGTTAGAATTGTTTTTTAAAAAATGCAGTCAAGTGAACAATCTTCACTTTTTTGTTTTTTTAATGAGAAGAAAAGAAGTGGTCCGACGTGGGGTAAATCGTGATCTTTAGTATTCTTTCTGGGTTTACTGTGCTGTGGTAATTTTTCCCGCGTTTAAGCTACATGACTGATTCCTCAGAGGCCTTTAAAGCATACTGGATTTGTATATATACTATTCACTATTTATTGTATCAAAAGCACAGTGGAAAATTTAAAATCTGTTTGAAGCTTGAATTCCATAGTGTGTGCCTACCAAACCTTGCCATTGGGCTGTTTACTCAGTATTGCAGTAACATTGGGTTCCCTGCATTAACACATAGAAGCAGAGCTTTGTATAAACTACTTTTTTTTTTGAGACAGAGCCTCAAGCTGTCACCCTGGGTAGAGTGCTGTAGCATTACAGCTCACAGCAACCTCCAACTCCTGGGCTCAAGTGAGTCTCCTGCCTCAGCCTCCCAAGTAGCTTGGACCACAGGCGCCCACCACAATGCCCAGCATTTTTTGGTTGCAGCCCTCATTGTTGTTTGGCAGCTGGGGCTGGATTCGAATCCACCATCTTAGGTGTATGTGGCTGGTGCCTTAGCCACTTGAGCCACAGGCCCCAAGCCTGTGTATACTACTTAATGTTTACATTCCCTCATTTAAAACTCCAGATATCCCTATGAGATTGGGACTGTTGGCCACATTTTACACATGAAGAAACAGACACAGAAGGGTAATTTGTTCAAGTATATATTGCACCATATGTGGCTCTTAGGATTTAAACCCAGGCATTCTGGCTTTTTTGAGTGTGCTTGAGCGCTGTGCTGCCTCTCTGAAACTCCTTTGTAAAATCCTACAATTCTGACAATCAGCTATGGGTGTACATCTAATTTTCGCAAAACCAGTTATCGAATAATCATGGGAGAGACTTGGCTTAAAAATTCTAGTTAGTGACATCCATAAATCCTAGAATAGGTGGAGTCCAGTTACGGAATCTTCTCTTTTCCACTAGTGTTTTAATGTTTTTTTGTTTGGTGGTGGGGAGGGGCAATACTGAGAAGTCACCCATTGCAGTACCCTGTCTTAAGGTCTATGATGGGTGGGGCCGGTATGTGGTACAGGTTATTGTAGGCTGTGGTGAGTTAGCAAAGGCTTCCCTGACAAAGTAAATTCTAAGCTGATAAGGAAAAGTGAGCAGAATTAGTGAGGTGAAGCATGGAGGAAGCATCAACAGCATGTATAGAAGTCCAGAGATAAAAGAGTGACCAGATCAAGAAACCTTAAGTAGTTAAGAATAGCTAAAGCTTAGAGTTTGGGGTTAGAAAGGAGTGATTATGGCAGGTAGGGGCCAGATTTTTTTTTTGAGACAAAGTCTCAAGCTGTTGCCCTAGGTAGAGTGCTATGGCATCATGGCGGGTGGGGTGGGGTGGGGAGGGGTCTAACTTTTGTTCAGGCTGGTCTCCAACCTGTGAGCCCAAGCAATCCACCCTCCTCGGCCTCCCAGAGTGCTAGAATTCTAGGCATGAGCCACCACGCCCAGCTTAGATATTTTGTTTTAATGAATGCAGTGGGCAAAGCCTGGAAATATTTTAAGCTGGAGCATATCGTAATAGTATTTGCCTTTTAATAAAATAATAATTGCATATATTTCTTGAACACTTGCTGTGTACCAGGCCCTGTTCTAATTATATTATGTGTATAAACTTCGTAATTTATTTAATTTCCACAGTAGCTTTGTGAGAGCGGTCCTGCTATTATTTTCATTTTTATCAATGAGGAGACAGGTATAGAAAAGTTAAGTACCTTTCTCAATTTTGTACAGCCAGTAAGTAGCAGGCTGGGATTCAGGTTAGCCACAGTGTGGAGAAGGAGGTGAAGACTAGAAGCAGAGAGAGTAGAGTCTGGAAATGGCTGTTGTAATCCAGGAGAGAGGTGAAGGGATTTCAGAGATATGTAGGAGTAAATTTATAACTAGGTGGTTGATTGAATATAGGTGATGAGGGAGAAGAGGAAATTTCTTGTTTGAGCAAGTGGGACCTTTCATTGAAATAGGAAAACACGAGAGAAACAGGTTTGAGGGTTAGAAGACTATGAATATAATGAATGTATTATTGTTCATATTGAATTTTTAGTTTCTTTAGTATAATGTACTCAAGGGAGAAACAAGGCCTAAAGATAGAGATTTTGAGAGTCATCACTGTATAGTGAGAATTGAAGCCATGAGCTCTATAAGCATATATTGAATTGTAGAAGGTCAGTAGTTGAGATCTACATGAGACACCAACATTAAAAGGAAAGGAGTAGCGCAAGAAAGGCAGATCTTTGGAGGAGACCAAGAAGGAGCCAGACAGGTAAAAGGAGTATGAAATGTATATCACTATGACAGAAACAGACAACTGGAATGTGGCCTTCAGTAGTTTCAATTTTATGAGTCCTGTGACATGTTCTTTGGTTTTAGTAGTGAGAAGGTTGTTAGTGACCTACTGATTGTTTTCAACGGGGCGATGGTGGCAGTGAGTGAGGAATGGTCGCAGGTGAGACTGTTGAGATAGTGAATATAAACAGATCTTCCAAAGACATAGTCTTTGATGAGATGGTACAAGGGCAGAGGCGCTTTAAGGGGACACAGAGTATTGAGGGAGTTTTTTTTTATTTTTTAATTTTAAATACATACACGCCTATGTGGGGGTTGGGAAAGATCTGCAGAAGAGGAAGTCTAGATAGTACTGCTTAATCAGATAGTAAACATTTTATGGTATAATTATTTCTTTAAAAGTTATGTATCTATTTTCTTTGCTTCTGTTTGATTTTTATAGGATGAAGTTGTGATATGTCCTTATGATTCTAATCATCACATGCCTAAATCATCTTTAGCAAAGCACATAGTATCTTGTAAATTGAGGAAACTGGGCTATACCAAAGAAGAAGAGGTACCATATATTTACTGTATTTTATATATGTGTGTGTATGTCATGTAATTCATGTATTAATAAATGCATAACATTTAAAACTTAACATTGTAAAGTTTTTCTAACATCATATAATAGCCCTTTTTGTAGTGTAGCATAGTACTTGGCTAATTTCACAAATTATTATGAGAAGTATTTAAATGGTACTAATCTGTAGTTTATGTCAAATCTTAAAATAGTTAATATCTAATACTTAGGAACACTAACAATTTTTTTTTTAATGTTTAGGATAAAATGTATAATCCTGATTTTTTCTATGAGAATGTGAAGATACCTTCAGTTACTTTGAGTAAGTATTAAGTTATTAGATTATAATTTTAAAATGTCTTAGTATAGGTATTGATTTTTCATTTTTGAATTATAAGCATGCTTATGATTAAAAAAGACATTCAGTACCATAAGAGAATGTAGGATTAATTAATATTATGGGAAACTAGTTTGTATAATCTGAAATCTAGAGACCAGGTTTATATTCAAAAGGTGGTGAAAACCCTACAAAGCCTTATACATTAGGGAAGGTGCCTTCCTTCTTGATTATAACAAAAATCTGAGCATATAACAAAGACTGGAGGATAAGACTAAAAGTGTGAATGGGTTCCAGAGATTCATAGCATATTCCGAGGTTAAAGTGTCAGGCTCTGGAAGTAGAATGCCCAGATTCAACTCCTGGTTTTGTAACAAATATTTAAGTTTCAACAAAGTAATTAAGCTATTGCCTAAATTTTTTTTATAAAGTGAGGGTGATGATAATAGCAATTTGTGAAGATTAAATGACAAGTGTGTCATGTTTAGAATTGTGCCTGAAACTTAGCTGGAGGCAACCAGAGGGGTCACAGAATTAATATAGTTATAGCACAAGTTTCAAGAAGTTAGCTATTGTTGATCGCTAAAATTTGTAGCTGCTGTTGCTGCTGCATTTCTAATTACAGTGTTTTGTGACTGCCTGAAGTCTGGTTATTTACTGGGCTTTAGATTTCTTCTAGATGGGAAAGAATTCTGTGTTCAGATTATTTAAGTAGTGATATAGATGTTTGCTTTCTTTAGATTCTGGAAGATTTGTCTATGTAGCCAGAGAGTTTGGATTGGAAACCAGTTAATCATTTAATTGTGACACTGATTAATCATATTTATGGATTTTTTTTGACAGATAAAGACTCTCAATTCCAGATAATTAAACAAGCTAGAACTGCAGTTGGAAAAGATGGTGATTATAACAATCAAAGTAAGTAGCATCACAGTTTAAACTACTTAATGAATCAAGTTGGTTTTTTTTCATAAGCACATATTACTAATTTTCAGGAAAACCCTCATGAAAACAGTTCAATGGGAAAGGTTAAATTTTGCATTTAACATCGGGGTAATTTGCTTTGTTTTTGCTTAATCTGAATCAGTAGATACCACCTACTCAAGTAAACCAGAGTTTTACTAGGATACTATCTTAGCTAATGCTAATGCTTTGGAATTATATGGTGATTTTATACATGAGATTGCCTTGTGGATAATTTTTAAAAAATTATTAAGTAAACATAGATTGTTCTGACTTACCATGGTTGGATTTAGGATTTTTCAGCTTTATAGATGGTGTCAAAGTGATACACAACCATAAAGCTTAAGACTTTAAGCACTAGTGATTCTTTTACCAAAGACTCTTTGGGCTGTGCTTTCAACTTAGCTGTATTTTCAGCTTATAATGAATTTATTGGGACTTATTCCCGTCAGCAGTCCAGGAGCAAATGCCATTGAGTGAGACAGTTTTACCCTGAGATTTCTTCTAGAATGTTGAAATGCAGTGTAACAGATAGGCTTAGGCTGAAAGAGGTAGTCTCTCAGTTTTTTTCAGAGCATTACCCTTTAAATGAGTTGGTTTTTATTTTTTTATTTTATTTTTATTTTTATTTTTTGAGACAAGAGTTTCATTTTGTCCTCCTTGGTAGAGTGCCGTTGCATCATAGCTCACGCAACCTCAAACTCTTGGGCTCAAATGATCCTCTTGCCTCAGCCTTCCAAGTAACTAGGACTACTAGTGCCAGCCACAATGCTGGCTATTTTTAGAGACAGGGGTCTTACTTTTGCTTAGGCTAGTCTTGAACCTGTGAGCCCAGGCTGTCCACCTGCCTTGGCCACTCAGAGTGCTGGGATTACAGGCGTGAGCCACCGTGCTCGGCCCTGTGAGTTGGTTTTTAATCATGTTGGATCTTGGACCTTCTGAAATGATGAATGCTAGGGATTCCCTTCTCAGAAAAAAAGCCCCAACACAAAGTTTTATGTATAATTTCAGTGAATTTGTAGATCTGTTCATGCCCAGCTTTGGATCTGGGTTAGAGATTTTCTTCTTGGGGCTTCAACAGAGATTAGGTTAGAATTTTTAAGCATAAACTTTTAGGAAATTGAAAGAAAACTTAATATATTAAAAACAGAAGTGAATGAGTTAATAAGAGTTTAGATTTATGATGACCCCTAGGTATGACATCCAGCGAAAGTCTGACCGGGATTTCTGAGTTGTCTTCTATAGGTAGCTTTCTCTGGACATGTTACTTTTTTCTAGCTGTATTATATTCACCAGGCTATAGTCAATGGCTTGTTTTCTTTCTCTCTTGTTGGAGTTCACGGTCTTTACTAAACCTGTTGTAAGCCAGTATCTGAACTTGATTTCTATGAGTTGTATTGTGGCATCTGAAAGGAAGACCAATTTACCCTTAGCCCAGCCTGTCTACATTCAGGGTTCCCTATAATAGCCTAAAGCACATTTCTTGTATTTCCTGTTCGGAAGTTCCCATTTTTGTGCCAGTCAGCTAAATTCCAGGGTTTTTTCTTTTAGAGAGACATTTGACTCTCTTATATGGAGATACAACTGAGCTGCCAAGGCTTTTGGGGCCTTATTGGTTCTACTCAGTGTCCCTGTTTAATTAGTATATCCACAAAAAGGTAAAAGTTTTGATTTTTTTGGAGGGGTTGATACTTAAGAACTTTTATCTGACTCTTAACTAGTTAGATAAATTTCCTGAATTTTTAGAATTGAAAGAGAACTTGGGGATCATCTAATCCAGCATCTGCAAGTTACAAATAAGGAAACAGTTTCTGTCTGAAACATACATGTAATCAAGTTCTGGTGTGTTTATTCTAAAAGTCTTCAATATTTTTGTTTTTCAAAAGGTTCCTTTTTTCAGGGCTCTTTTGTGTATTTCATTCACAACAAGCTTGTGATAGAGTGGACAAGTATTTTCCCCTCCATATTAGGTGAAAAAATAGAAGTACATGAAAGTGAAGTAATTTGTCTCTGCTAGGTAATAGCAAAGCTGGATACAGAGCCAAGTTCTGAATTTTGTTACAAACTTTGAACTCAGTTGTTCTGTTTTCTGTTAGAAATTCTCTAGATTTAGTGAAATGAGTGGATTAGGATTCCATGATTAAGTGGAAATCTATCAAAAACTTAAAATATGTGCATAATCTCTGCTACTGTCAGGGCTGTTCATTGCCTTAAACATACATTTAAGAAATAAGCTAGTTGCTTAGCCTTGTTTAAAGGACTTCTTTTATTTTTTCTTTCTTTATGATTTAAAGCTATCTTTTATGTTTAGAGAAACAGAGATAGTGAATGCTAAACATGTCCTAGGTCCAATAATTGGTAGCGGCTATTTTCTAAGTGGAATTAATTGCAAAAAGCAATATTAAGATGAAATGAGTGGAGAGTTTTGTATGTATGAGTTATTTAGAAAATGTTCTTTTTTTAAAAATAAATAACTGGCTAATAAGGTAGATTTGGGCATGAAGTTTAGTTCTTTACAAAAGTAAAGAATTTTTTCGGTAGATAGTTAAGAACTTTTATTTGATTTTGAATTCTTACACTGTCACTGTCCTTAAATTAAAGTTTAAATGTCAAGAATAACTATTTTTATATTATCTATAACCCTTTTAACATTTTTTTTTTTTTTTTTTTTTTGAGACAGAGCCTCAAGCTGTCCCCCTGGACAGAGTGCTGTGGCATTACAGCTCACAGCAACCTCCAACTCCTGGGCTCAAGCGAGTCTCCTGCCTCCGCCTCCCAAGTAGCTGGGACCACAGGCGCCCGCCACAACACCCGGCTATTTTTTGGTTGCAGCCATCATTGTTGTTTGGTGGTCCGGGCTGGGGATTCGAACCCGCCACCTTAGGTGTACGTGGCTGGCGCCTTAGCCGGTTGAGCTATAGGCGCTGAGCCAATTTTTTCTTTTTTGATCCTGTGTAGAGTTCTGCAGTTTCTCAATAGATTGTTTTTGTGGCCTACTTCTGTCTTACATGTTTTAAAATCTTTTACCTGGCTCGGCGCCTATAGCTCAGTGGCCAGGGCACTGGCCACCTATACCAGGGCTGTTGGGTTCAAACCCGGCCTGGGCCTGCTAAACAACGACAACTTCAACAAAAAAATAGCCGGGCATTGTGGTGGGCGCCTGTAGTCCCAGCTCCTTGGGAAGCTGAGGCAAGAGAATTGCTTAAGCCCAAGAATTAGAGGTTGTTGTGAGCAGTGATGTCATGGCACTTTACCAAGGGCAACATGTAAGACTCTGTCTCAAAAAAAAAAAATCTTTTACCCTAGGACAAGAATCTCTTTGAGTTATCTTCTTATTGATGTATTTTCTTTGAAGGGAGAATGATTAACATTTTACATTTTTCCTTGTAATTAATATTTTGTTTGCTGTACACTAAAATATAAAGTTTTTGACAAGGTTTTATGTGTATTTCATTCCATTAGTTGTGTTGGGCCTAAACTCAATGTACAGAATTTTCAATCTGTTAACTTCTATAAAAATCTGAACTATCATTAGAGCTACATGCTTATTTTTAGGGGATAGTTACTTTGGTTAATTTTAAAACCAAGACATTAATTTTAATCATAAAAGTCATCTTATGTTTAGTAGTTTTTCTTTTCCTTCAGTCTTAAATATTCAAGTTCTATACTTCAATTTCATGAAGTATGTGTGAATCATGGTCATGATTTGAAGATCAGTATACAGTAAAAGAATCTTAAAGAGAGGGTAGAATGGCTTTAGACTTGATCTGTTCTTATCACTTGTGAGACTTTGGGCAGGTTATGTTACTTCTATGGGCCTTAATTTCTTTATCCTAATGTTAAGGAATTGACTCTGAATTATTCCTAAAATTCTAAATTATATTTGTGATGGTACCTTTACTACTATTGACTATTGTATGTCATGTGTTTGAGATGCCTTGTGATGGCAAACATGACTAACAGGAAGAATGAGAATTAGTGTTACTAAAAATAGTTTGGGCTGGGCTGAGTGACTCATGCCTGTAATCCTACCACTCTGGGAGGCCGAGGTGGGTGGATTGCGTGAGCTCACAGGTTTGAGACCAGCCTGAGCCAGAGTTGAGAGTTTTTTCTCTAAAAATAGCCAGGAATCGGCTCGGCGCCAGTGGCTCAAGCAGCTAAGGCGCCAGCCACATACACCTAAGGTGGAGGGTTCTAATCCCCAGCCTGGGCCCGCCAAACAACAATAATGGCTGCAACCAAAAAATGGCTGGCGCTGTGGCGGGCGCCTATAGTCCCAGCTACTTGGGAGGCTGAGACAGGAGACTCGCTTGAGCCCAGGAGTTGGAGGTTGCTGTGAGCTGTGAGGCCATGGCACTCTACCCAGGGGGATAGCTTGAGGCTCCGTCTCAAAAAAAAAAAAATAGCCGGGAATCATGGCAAGCGCCTTTATTCCCAGCTTCTTGAGAAGCTGAGGCAAGAGAATTGCTTGAGCTCCAGGAGTTTGAGGTTGCTGTGAGCTATGATGTCATAGCAAAGTTCTAGAGATGGGTAGAGATGATGGCTGTACAACATGTGAATGTACTTAACGTCTCTGAACTATACACTTAAAAATGGTCAACATATTAAATTTTACTACAATTAAAACTACAAAAGAAGGCAGCTGGAGGGTCATGAGCTACTATGATTACAGCACATTCAGATGTACCTCTAAATCTTATAGAAATGTGCATTTTGAAAATTGACATTTTATGTAAATGTAAGCTTATTTGTGTTTATCCTTTTTATTTTTTGCTAGAAATATCTATGTTCTGAATGATTTGAATGCAGCTTGTTGCTTAACTTTTCCTGTACTTTTTCTTTTTCAGTAATTGGGGTGAGTATAAAGAGGAATTAGGAACCTGAATATACTCCTTATTTAAAGATATGCAGTATCCTTTTTGCAAATGATATCCTTTTAAAAGTATCAATCAAATTTCTAAACTTTATTTTAATAGCTATCACAATATTATAGTCTTAATTTGGAATTTTGGTTGAATTACAAGAAATTTTAGTATCAATCTACACCATAAAGAAATTGGAGATTAAATGAACAAAGAAAATGCCAAAATATTTTAAGGAAGAAATTATATTTCTTTGTTTAAAAATAACAGGCAAAGGTTTATGTGGAGCTTGTTTGTCATTCATCATTGTTTTTTTAAGTTTTTTGTTTTTCTACCAGATTTTTATAGCCCATATTGAAAGGAATTAGGCTTATCAAAGTTAATTTTTTTGTAATTTTATATTATAAAATTAGATGTTTTTATACCTGGCTACATAAAAGAACTTTTCCTAGTCCCTACCAGAATTAGAATAAAGTTGATTAACTGGAGAAGGAATCATCTTCCCCACTAATTCAAAGTCTAGGAAAAATGGCCATATATTGTTATCTATAGCTGTTAAAACACAGCCTCAGATTCAGAGCAGCACTCCTCTTAATTTGTAGACAAATGTAAAGTCATCTCTTTTTGGTGGTAATGCTTAGTTCATAGTATATTCTTGTTTGAATTCTTTTGCTTCTACCCAAGAAGGTTAACAAGGTTAGACTTTATCAAATATCTGGGAAGAGCTACTGATTTTTACATTGTTCTGTAAACCATAGTTAACTACTTTAGGATAACCTAGCAAACACTGAAAGGATTCCTTTACACTTGATCTTAGCCAAAAGGTCAAGAAGTGGTTAAGATTCCTTTAGTAACTCATGCTTTTTGTTTGCATCAGTGAGTAATGAACTCTAGCAAGAATTGTTTTAAATTGCTTTTTTTACAGTTCCAATCATTTTTTTATTTGAGAAAATTTGAATCTCAAAACAAAAATTTTCTTCAATGTTTAATACAGCATATCAAGGTATTGTATTTACTTTTTTCATTAATGAGCAGATTTTGGAAAGTTCTGTAACTTCTGGGGGGCACTGCTATTTACTTTTTAAAATTAATTTGTTTAAGCTAGTATATTTCCTCCTAAGGAAATTGAAATGAGGTTAGTTTCAGTTTAATCTGTCTTTGGACTGAGGAAACATGGGATTTCTGCTACTTAATTGTTTTTTTGGTCCGTAGCTCTAAGTCATTGCACGAATGGAATGTATTTTGAATATTGACCATCTAGCCTATTGTCTCATACAAAAAAGACTTTTTTTTTTTTACACTTTTAACAATGTTTCCATAGTTTATTTTCAAAGGAACATTAATGTGTATTACCTATTAAAAGCAAATTTTTCAGCTTTTATGCGGGAAAGCATGTAAATAGATATTATCTACTTTCCCAATATGGGTAGTCTTTTAAAAATTAGTACTTTCGGCTCGGCGCCTGTGGCTCAAGCAGCTAAGGC